ACTACTACTACTACTACTACAGAAATACCCGTAACTTAGCACACCCAACACCCCAAAAAACTGGACCTGTCCAAGATGGCGTCAGTACGAAATCGGAGAAGGCTACGATTGCTCATCCAGTAAATCTAAAGCTTTGACCGCAACTTTGGAAACCCTGCCTGCATGATGCATTCGCCACGCCAAAAAATAGCCATCGAGCAGGCCCTTGTGGCGCGGCTGAAGGCACCTTGCAAAGGAGCTCTCAACTCCCATCCGTCTTCTTGGGATTTTGGACATACACAACAAGAAGAAAAACAACACTGGTAAAACCATGGGAACACCACATGTCCAACAAATTGATGTTCTATGTTTTTCTTGAAGACCTGGGACTCTGCACGCCATAATTTTGGGTGGAACAATCGTTGAATAGATAGACATTCAGTAAGGGGAGAACTCCAAGTTTTTGAAGCATGGTCAAGCATGCCAGGAATGCTCCAAGCCCAGATCAACTCTTCGCTTGTGCGTTGTGGAACAGCTTCATCTACCCACAGAACCTGCGGGACGGGCACTGCCTTTTGTCAAGCGATCTCTCCGATTGTCGGGAAAACCTCAAGTCATTCAGATACACGTCCAGAGATGTTTGGGGTATAATTTTCTGAATGCAACAACAACAGCAGCGTAATTACCTCTTGGGTTCTTTGCTGCCCCGAAAAAGTAGAACAAAAACATCCCACCCAAGCAACTGACAAAGCATGTCATGCAACCTATCCAAATAAACTAAACAGGAGATCCGCGCTTTGTTTGCATCCTCCCATTCTGCTGTGTCCTGCAAACAAGTCTGACAAGTCCCAACAGTCAAGGTTAAAGGTTCCCTGTGATGTGTGAGTCATTCATTCGATGCTCTTAGTGGTCGTAGGATTTCGTAGGTGGCAGTCGCTCCTCGATGTCTGGACTCTTCGGAGTCTCACTAATCCAAACCAAGCCCTGTAGGAGAAGCGTCACGGAGAGGACTGGCCGGCGTCACAAGTGACATCGGAGAACATGACTGACAAAATGTCATAGACTGGTCATGTCATGGTTTTGCAAAGGCTAGGCAAAACGTTGCACTTTAATTAATACTTCTGTATATTAAATTTGCGCTTTCTCAAAGCATCTCCAACCTCCAGCACAAAGATCAGCACGGGTCTGGGAAGGATCCTTAGTCAAAAAGCCTCACATTTGTTCTGTAGACTACTGCAACTGAAGCAGCTGAAGTAAGAATAACTGAGGCAGTGTCCACGCCATACCTCGACCTCAAGATGCTGCACGACACGCAGTCGAGACCGACCATCAAGGCTCTTACCATTGTACTGATGTCAAGTTCTGTCAACATCGGTGACTGTGACATTGAAACATGCACTGAGGCAATGACGCATCAGAAAACACCAGGGACTGTCGATTCAAGATCAGGACTCCCAAACCCAGCATGCCAAGGAAGGTGGGTGCAATTCGTATCTGCGTGTCGAATCTGGCAAATGGATCACGTTGTGCGACCTCGTCGTTCTCCTCCAATGAAATCGGCAAGTCGTCTTCAAAGCAGACCTCAGCAACCTCGGAAGGCTGATCTTGCAAGTCTTTCTCTTCATTCAGCAGTAGGCCCAATTTCGAAGCCGCATTGGCAACCCAAAGGCGGTCAGCTTCTTTGTCAAATGCACGTGGACGTGCAGACCACATGATTAAGTGGCCGCCACCGGGCATCGGCTTTACCACAGCAGCCTCAGTATCAACAGGAAGGACCTTGGCCGGAAGAAGTTTGTTCGGAAAGGACTCAAGGCCTCTTTGAGTGGCACAAAAGCCATTCACTGGTGTGGCCTCTGGCTGCCAAACAGCATCCAAGCCTTTGAGGACATATTCAGCACCAGATGCAAAACCTTGAAGCCGTTTCAAAATCCCACGGCTACAAATCACTTCCCCATCATGCCAAACCACCAAACCATCCGCATTGGTCAATCGCAACAAAACTGAGCTGATCCAAGAGATATCAATCTGAACCTCAGACGGCAAAGTTTGCTTTATTGCAAGTGTCTGGATGGAGCCGGGCTTCCGAGATGTTGGCTTGGCAGAAACCTGCCGGCGCGCGGCTTCTTCTAAACGTCCGCCAACCCATGGAATCGACCAGGCAAGAACAGAAAACACTAGAGCCAAAGCTTCACTCACCTGGCGAAAACTGTCCACATCACCTGTGGTCGTCGCTCTGTTGTACACCAGCAAGGCCAAACAACATGCCGTAATCACTCGAGGCAGCATCGTGAGATCGTCGAGTCCAGGAATGCGGAAACGGATTATCGCGAAGTCTCCACCACGGGCTCGCATCGTCAGCCTCCTCAACCGTGGATGCGCCTGCACTGCCAAGGCAGCGAGAGAAAACCGTGAGGATTTACCAAGAGTGGAGGCTGCACAGCAGTTCGAAAACTGTCTGCGTCTTGACAAATGGTGTCGTGCATGCGAACTTCCCTGCGCCCTCGGATGCGGAGGACCACATGGCGTGACTTTCAGCAAGGAAGACAACATGGCACCCTCCAGAGTATGTCTTGATAAGACGGTCACGAGTCACAATTGTTGAACAGTTGTCTTGTTTACGCGTCAAGATGCTGCCAAAAAAGGAACAATTGGGCAACGAATGGTAACACTACAGTTTGCTACGAAATGGCACGTTGCATTGTGAATCAACCGTTCACCCTGCACAATGACTTTTGGCCTTTTTATTTGGCCTGCGAACTGCGGCCTCGTCCTAGTTCAATGTGGTGTCTGGGTTCGAAAGATTTCAACGGTCAAATCCCAATGGCCCATGGCACACTATAAGAGGAGCATCGATCCTGAGCCCTGAAGCATATCCAACCTGAGTAACATTAGTGTCATGAACTTCAACGCAGATCAACGCAGCGGCTATGCTTGAACTTCATTGATCGCTACACTAGACGCTATATAGATCGTTTTTTCCTTGCGGCGAATGCCATAATCTTGACGTCTAAAAGATTGTTTCATGATGGGAGAAGCTTACTTAGACTTAGACGAGTTGCGTTTGGATATCTTTAAATATATCACACATCTTCAAATCAACCCCTCGCCCTTTTCCGACTCCTGCTTCAACTCAGTCTAGAGCATGACCAGTACAGGTCATCGAACCCTGTCTTGTCCTGCCCTTTCCCATCTCCGTGAATGTCTGCTGGCAAGGATGACGACATTGCTCTGAAAACAATGACAATGCTGCGAAATGATTCCACTGCTGCGAGCAGGGTGAGATATGTGGGAAACAACAAATGAGCACCAGCTCACGATGAACACCATCCGACATAATGTAATAAAAGTTTAACAAACACGATGATAAGGAACATGATACTGTAACAATGATTCAAAGAATATGACAACGATGACGACGACTTGTGAAGGTGGTGGATGTCAGGTCGAGTGAAGGTGGTGGATGTCAGCGACCTGGTCGCCGGTTCGCTTAACCTGAACATCTGCGAGGAACAGGTCGACGACACGCGAGTCTTCGCCTGTTCACTCGACCTGGTCCATGGATGTCCATGGATGTAAGAAAAGAAAAGACGTATCTAAAAGAAAAGCACGACAAAAAACACATTGATGATGACAAAAGCATGTTTGAGTAATTTGTCTTTTATTATGCTTTGTTTTTTCTTTTCCTTTATTTACACCGGTGAAAACTAACATGTTGGCCAACAAAAATAGATCTATTTTTTTCGGCATATGTTAGTCTAGTTTCCGAGCGGACACCGTTGAGACTAACCTAGACCAAATTCAGATGTGCCATGGTGGGCCCTACGGGTACTTGGCATGGTCCATGTTAGCCTCCACCGGGCTATGTTGACCTCTACCGG